GGAAGGAAGGAAGGAAGGAAGGAAGGAAGGAAGGAAGGAAGGAAGGAAGGAAGGAAGGAAGGAAAAGCATGCCTCCCCTTCGCTTCCCCAGCCGCCCTGCTGGGAGCAGCACAATATGCATGAAAGAGCCACAGTTTGGCCACCCCTGATCTAGGGACACACGAAAGGAGACATGTCTTGTGGCGTGTGGACAGGAATGACCCACCCCAGCCTAGGCCCAAGCCTCTGCACGCTCCCTCCCAGCTACCTCAACGGCCTGCTTGAAGCCATTAAGCCTAAACCTCCATCGAGTCCTGGAGACGGAATCCCGATTCCAATCCCTCCCCCACCTTCACTAAACCAAACATCTTCCACACGGCTGGAGTCCAAACCTTCGCCCTGGTTCTTCATCTCCCTGCTCTGGTCAGGAATACATTCGCTGCCCGTTGCCTGAAGTCCCCCGCCCTCCAAGAGCAAATTTCTTCTCCCTCCTGTTCTGAAGACAGGGCCTTACACACACAGGTTGGATCTGGAGATCTCCTGGCATTATAACAGGTCTCCAGACGACAGACATTAGTTAAAAACGGCTGCTCTGGAGGGTGGACTCTATGGCATTATACCCTGCTGAGGCCCCTCCCCTCCCCAGGCTCCACCCACAAATCTCCAGGAATCTCCCAACCCCACCTCCTGACTGCACAGATCAGTTCCGCTGGAGAAAATGGCTGCTTTGGAGGGTGGAGTCTGTGGCATGGGACCCCACCGAGGTCCCTCCCTCCTCCCAACCCCAGGCTCCACCCCCGAATCTCCAGCAATTTCCCAACCCAGATGTGACCAACCAGTGTTCCCTCTAAGCTGAGTTAGTGTGAGTGAGCTCACAGTTTTTTAGCCTCCGGCTCGCAGATTTTTGTCTTAGCTCAGGAAGGGATGGCTTTGGAGTATGCAGCAGCCAAATCGCTCGCTCACAACTTTAATGCCGGTAGCTCACAAAGTAGAATTTTTGCTCACAAGACTCCACAGCTTAGAGGGGAGCATTTATGGCAACCCTACCTCCCCAACTGCATAGATCAGTACCCCTGGAGAAAACGGTTGCTTTGGAGGGTGGAATCTATGGCATTACACTCCACTGAGGTCCCTTCCCTCCTCCAAACCCCAGGCTCCACCCTCAAATCTCCAGGAATCTCCCAGCTTTTGAGTGGGTAACCCCTACTCACGGAGCTCGTCAAAGAAGGTCTCCACGCCGTCTTCTCCAACCACAGAGCAGACCAGCCGGGCTTTCAGGAACGTGGTCCACTTGTTCACCAAGGAACGCTGCCCCCCATCGTCATTCTGGAAAAGGGACAAAGAGCTCCGTCATCCAAAGGGTCTGTGTCCCCTCCCAGCCAAAAGCGGGGCTGCTTCGGGGGTGTGGGGAAGGCAAAGCATCCATCTGCGCTGAGTCCTCCATCTTCAAACCGGGAGCAGGGGGTGGCAAAGGAATGTTTGGCATAAAAGGTGGAAATTGAACCACGGGAGAGGCAGAGTCACAGAGGTCTAGAGCTAATAATTATGAATAATAAATAATTATTGCATGGCATTGGGTGTCGCAGAGCCAGGAGATCCTAAAATTGTCTGGCAGCTGGAGGTTCTAGCTCTTTAGCGTTTGGCACCACTAGGTGGCGAGTTAGACTTGTTTTTAAGGCGAGAGACGTTTTCAGAGGTGGTTTGCCATTGCCTGCCTCTGTGTCCTTGGAGGCCGCCCTTCCAATTCCTTGCCAAGGCCGACCCTGCTTAGCTTCCGAGATCTGATGAGATCGGGCTAGCCTGTACTATTTGGATTAGGACTGGGTCTAGAGCTGGAAAGGAGTCGTGGAGGTCAATCTATTCCAGGGGTGGCCAAACTGTGGCTCAGGACCCGCATGCGGCTCTTTCACACCTCTTGTGCGGCTCCCGGCAGGGGAAGCTAAGTATCGTCCGCAAACAAATAAATATCATTGGACGAATAAATACCATCATCAAGATCTGCTTTTACCCCTTTTGTTATTATTTTTGGCAGTCTCGTTTAACGTTAATAAAAAGCAAGTCTGTGTATTTCCCAATGAAAACGTGTAATGTTTGTTCGTGTCTTGCGGCTCTCAAACATCTGTTTATTCTGTGTGGCTCTTGCATTAAAGCAAGTTTGGCCTCCCCCTGATCTACTCCATCCCCCCCCCGCGAGGCTCCATGCAGAAGATCCGAAGCTAGATGGCTGCCCAGTCTTTGCTTGAGGCAGATAGCAACCACTGTTCCCTCTAAGCTGAGTTAGTGTGAGCCAGCTCACAGTCATTCTGTGTGGCTCTTGCATTAAAGCAAGTTTGGCCTCCCCCTGATCTACTCCATCCCCCCCCCCGAGGCTCCATGCAGAAGTTCCAAAGCTAGATGGCTGCCCAGTCTTTGCTTGAAGCTGCACTTTCATCTGCCTTCACGAGGCAGGTAGTGTCGTCCCGTCCCCCCCAACCCCATAGAGTTCTCAAGGCAAGAGACATTTAGAGGTGGTTTGCCATTGCCTGTCTCTGCATATCAGCGAGCCTGTCATTCCATGGTGGTCCATCCGAATACTGACCATGACCGACCCAGCTTAGCTTCCAAGATCTGACATGATCACTTTGGTGCAGCAGTTAAGACTGCGGACTCTAAGAAAATATTGGGTGTTGGTGCGTGAATTGATACAAAAGGTATTAGACACTTCTATTCCATTTACACCCGAGGTTTTATTATTAAACATCTTGCCGGATGGATCTAGAAAAGACGACCGTTATTTGATGAAGTACTCTACTACAACTGCAAGGATTTTAGATGCAAAGTACTGGAAATCACCTGAGGTCCCCACGAAACAAGAATATGTAGACAAACTGTTGGAAGCGGCTGAACTGGATAAATTGACTTTATTGATGAAAGGATGATCAGACTCTACATTTCAGAACACTTGGTCTGGATTTTATATTTGCTTATAATAGTTACAATGCGTTATGAACAGGTAGATAGCTGCAAATATGCGAAGAAATAGATGATGTAGCCCAGTTTATTAGAATCTAGCTTTAATTACTCATGTCATCTTAATATGTATTATGTTAAATGTTGGCATAAGAACTGTATCATCTGAGAAGAATTACCCCCATTCTATGTTTGTTTGTCTTTACTGTTTGTATGGTTTTGAAATTTTTTAAATAAAACTCTACCCCTCCATGGGGTAGTAAAAAAAAAAAAGACTGCGGACTCTAATCTGGGAGAACTAGGTTTGATTGCCTCGACCAGGGCCAGGGCCTTTTCCGCCCTGGCCCCTGCCTGGTGGAACAAGTTCCCCATTGAGATCAGGGCCTGGCGGGATCTGCTTCAATTCCGCAGGGCCTGCAAGACGGAGCTCTTCCGCCAGGCCTTTGGCTCAGGCAGCGGACGCCCATACATGGCCTCCGTGAGCCGTTTGTCCCTCTGTTAACAACCACTGGCTATGGCCAGGAACCTCCCACAACCAGAAAAAAAAAATGTTATTAGCTATGACCACCATTTTAATATTTATTATGATGTTTCACATTTTAATGTTATTACATTCACTAATATATTTTGTATAAATGATATGTTGTTACCCACCCTGAGCCCGCTTCTGGGAAGGGCAGGCTATAAATGTGAAGAAATAAATAAACCCCCCACTCCTCTACATGCAGCCAGCTGGGTGACCTTGGGTCAGTTCACAAGTTCTCCCAGAGCTGTTCTCTCAAGAGCAGTCCTCAAAAGAACTCTCTCAGCCCCACGACCTGAACTTTCTTGGGGCCTGCCCCACAACTATGGAACGAGTGCCTCTTGGCAGTGCGAAAGATCTCTTCCCTTCCTCAGGAGGTACATTTATTTCAGAGGGTGTTCGTAGGGATTCGGCAGCTAGGATCCAACAGCGCAGTTCCGCAGACAGGAGGGATTTCCGCCTATAAAATCATGACTTACTCATCTCCCCCCTTCCTCTGCAGCCCCCCAGCTCTTTCTAGGGGACACGGGACCCTCAGGAATAGTTTGAAGGGGCCATTTTGGGGTGCAGCAGGAGAGGCCCCCCCAAGAAAATCGTGCTGCGAAGGCGGAAATCCTTCCGACTGTGGAAACATTCCATCAGATCCAATCCTGTGATCTTATTTGTATTTGCTATACGGGATAGTCATTTGTTTGATCGTTTAAATAAACCCTATCCCACCATCCCCTGCTGGTGGCTGGGGGGGGGGGACCTGGCCACCCTACCACACGCTGGCTTCACCACAGCCGCCATCTTCCTCAGACGGAAGACCACAGCCGCCATCTTCCTCAGACGGGAGACCGTTGCCTCAAGGAAAGACCTGAACACACATCCCCACCCCCCGCGGGATCCCCGCTCACCAGGCAAACCCGTCCCACCCGAGCGAGCACGGCGGGCCCCACGGCCCCCTCCAGAGCTTTCTCGCGGAACAAGAAATACAGCTTGTCATCGTTGTGGTCGGAGCTATCGGGAATGACCTGGGCGTGGAGGAAGACAGGATCTGGGGCAGAGAGAGAGAGAGAGGGAGAAAGAGAGGGTGTTACTTCGGTTCACCACTTGGTGGTGCTGGAGAAAAACGTCGGGCCAGCGCCTGTCCAGGGTCCCTCCCACACACCAAGCCCAAACCATGAATAAGCGGGTAAGTTAAACGTACACTAACAACTTGGGTTGCCGGGTCCCCCAGTCCCAGCTACCCGCAAGGGATGGAGGGTCGGGTTGCCAGATCCAGGTTGGGAAACTCCTGGAGATTTGGGGATGGAGCCCAGGGAGGATGGGGACCTCGGTGGAGTGCAATGCCACAGAGTCCACCCTTCAAAGCAGCCTTTTTCTCCAGGGGAACTGATCTCTGCGGTCTGGAGGTCTGGGGATACCCAGTCAGCGTTCCCTCTAAGCTGAGTTAGTGTGAGCCAGCTCACAGTTTTTTAGCCTCCGGCTCACACATTTTTGTCTTAGCTCAGGAAGGGATGGCTCCAGAGCAAACTAACTGATGCAGTGGCCAAATCGCTCGCTCACAACGTTAATGCCAGTAGCCAGTGCTCCCTCAAAGCTACGGAGCTCTGTGAGCAAATATTCTACTTTGTGAGCTGCTAGAGATTGGATTTATACCCCACCCTTCACTACCCAAAGGAGTCTCAGAGCGGCTTACAGACTCCTTTCCCTTCCCCTCCCCACAACAGACACCCTGTGAGGTAAAAGAAAAAGAAGAAGAGATTGGATTTATACCCCACCCTTCACTACCCAAAGGTGTCTCAGAGCGGCTTACAATCTCCTTTCCTTTCCCCTCGCCACAACAGACACCCTGTGAGGTAAAAGAAGAAGAAGAGATTGGACTGATACCCCGCCCTTCACTACCCAAAGGAGTCTCAGAGCGGCTTACAAACTCCTTTCCTTTCCCTTCCCCTCCCCACCACAGACACCCTGTGAGGTAGGTGGGGCTGAGAGAGCTCTTGACAGAAACTGCTCTTTTTCAAGGACAGCTCTTATCAGAACTACAGCTTGCCCAAGGTCATCCAGCCAGGTGCAAGTGGAGGAGTGTGGAATCAAACCCGGTCCTCCCGGATTAGAGTCCGTGCACTTAACCACGACACAAATAAAAAACCCCACATGTTCACTGAACTGGCATTCCCTGACTGCTAACCCAACAGCCCCTGCTGTGGTTGCCAGCCTCCAGGCGGAGACTGGAGATCTCCCAGAACTACAACTGATCTCGACTGCAGGAATCCCCAGGAGAAAACGGGTGTTTTGGAGGGTGGGCTCTATGGCATTATGCCCCACGGAGATCCCTCCCCTCCCTAAACCCCACCCTCCCCAGGTTCCACCTCCCAAATCTCCAGGAATTTCCCAGCCCAGAGATGGCAACCCTTGCCCCTCCATCCACACCCCATTCAGTCCGCAGTTCCCCTCTTACTTCACTTTTTTAAAAAAAGCAACTTACAGAAGGGAAATTCCAGAAACGTGGCCCTGGTAATGGTACGCAGCAAGAGAGGAGAGAGAGAGAGAGAGAGAGAGAGAGAGAGAGAGTGGTGGCATCTCAAGAACTATCAAATTTACTGTAGCGTCTCCTGCCAACCTAGCAGTTCAAAAGCAAGAAATTGCAAGGAGATAAAGAAGTACCGCTTCGGTGGGAAGGTAGCAGCGTTCCGTGCGCCTTGGTGTTTAGTCATGCCAGCCACATGACCACGGAGATGTCTTCGGACAGCGCTGGCTCTTCGGCTTGGAAACGGAGATAAGCAGCGCATCCCTAGAGTCAGATTCGACTGGCTTTCGAGCGAGGGAAACCTTCACCTTTACCTTCACTAGGCTTTTGGAGGCCCTGACCTGTATGGCCCAGGCTACCCTGACCTCAGATGCTAAGCAGGGTCTGCCCTGGTTAATAGTTGGATCAGAGACCACCAAGGGCATCCAGGGTTGCTACGCAGAGGCAGGCAATGGCCGAAACCACCTCTTTCTGTCTCTGCCCTTACCTGGAGGGCCCAGGCTAGCTGGATCTCGCCAGATCTCAGAGACTAAGCAGGGTTGGCTCTGGTTAATAGTTGGACGGGAGACCACCAAGGGCATCCAGGGGTGCTACGCAGAGGCAAGCAATGGCCCAAACCACCTCTGAACATCTCTCGCCTTGACCTAGAACGGCCCAAGTTAGCCCAATCTCATCAGATCTCGGAGCTTAGCAGGGTCGGCTTTGGTTAGTACTGGGTTGGGAGACCACCAAAGAAGGGCAGGGTTGCTACGCAGAGGCCGGCAACGGCAAACCACCTCTGTCCGTCTCTTGCCTTGAGAACCCTACGGGATCACTGAAAGTCGGCTTCCATTTGACAGCATTTCCTGCTATCAGGCTTTGGCAAATTCTAGCCTTCCGACGGTTCTACCCCATGAAAGCCTGCACCACAATACAACTGCTACAACAGACTACTGTAACGCTATCTACATGGGGCTGCCCTTGTTGCGGATCCGGAAGCTGCAACTAGTGCAGAATGCCGCGGCCAGGCTGTTGATGGGCCTCCCTAGATGGGAGCACATCCAACCTGCGCGGAGGACACTGCACTGGCTGCCAATAGCGTACCGAATCCGCTTCAAGGTGCTGGTTCTTACCTTTAAAGCTCTATATGGCCAGGGTCCGACATACCTACGGGACCGCCTTTCCCTGTATATACCTCAGAGAGCACTACGGTCTGGGTCTCAAAATTGGTTGACCCTCCCTGGCCCGAGGGAGGCCAAACTAGCTATTACCAGGGCCAGGGCCTTCTCGGTGGCGGCCCCTACCTGGTGGAACAAGCTCCTGGAGGAGATTAGGGCCCCGCGGGACCTTTCGCAGTTCTGCAGGGCCTGCAAGACAGAGCTCTTCCGCCAGGCATTTAATTAGGGGCCGCCGCTACTGCAGAGCTCTGGCCCATGGTTCCAACATCCAGTTGATGATGAGCAGCAACATTGGAGAATATCTGGGCGGTGGAAATTCATTCTGACAGTATACTATCGAGGCTCATCTTAACTGCTGCCAGCACTTTGTGTTCATATTGTTTTTACTTGTGTGTTTAAATATTTGTATGATTTTAAGCTGTATTTATGTTTTTATGGAAGCCGCCCTGAGCCTGCTTTGCAGGGAGGGCGGGGTATAATCTGATAATAAACAAACAAACAAACAAATAATGTTTCAAAGGCAACCAAACAGCTTGTTCAAAGTTACTTAAACAGACACAGAATTCTCTATTATGGTTCTAACGTTGATGGACTCGCGCAGCAGTTAACATCCCTGCCATTCGGCCCCGGGGGGAACACCTGGCCATCAAGCAGTCCTACCGTAGAGCCAACGGGAATCGTGCTGCTCCGTGCGCACAGCTGGTCGGGGCCCCATGGTACGGAACAGAGCCGCATCAGTGCCCATGAAATCCACATGCACACCGGCGTACAGAGTGGTATCTGGGTAGTAGAGGAGGAAAGAGAGTCACGGAGAGTCAAGTGTTACGTGGGCACAAAAATGAGGTAGCGGCAGGAGGAACAAATGGGCTTGCAAAATGATACTGCACCAGGTACTCGTGGGCACTCCATGAAATTGCTGAGTGGTCGGGTTAGAACGGATAAAAAGGAAGTACTTCTTCACCCAAAGAGTGATTAACACTTGGAATTCACTGCCACAGGAAGTGGTGGTGGCTACAAGCATGGACGGCTTCAAAAGGGAATTAGATAAGCATATGGAGCAGAGGTCCATCAGTGGCTCTTAGCCACAAGGTACAGATAGGGGCTCTGGGGCAAGTGATGCTCTGTCATCTTGGTGCTTGGGGGGGTCAACAGTGGGAGGGCTTCTAATGTCCTGGCCCCACTGGTGGACCTCCTGATGGCACCTGGTATTTCTGGCCACTGTGTGATACAGAGTGTTGGACTGGATGGGCCTTTGGTCTGATCCAACATTGGCATCTCTTATGTTCTTATGTTCTTAGGTATAGGAAACGGCCTTACTCTGCCAGCCCTGGGTTGCCAACACCGAGGGGTGGTGTTCAGGTGGCTCAGAAATGACAGCCGTTCTCCAGTTTATCAGGCAGAAATTAACGAGCAGTAGACTAGAACAGAACAAAGGAAGCACTTCTTCACCCAAAGAGTAATGAACACGTGGAGTTCACGGCCACAGGATGCGGTGGCGGCTACAAGCATAGACAGCTTCCAGAGGGGACTGGATAAACATATGGACAGAGGTCCATCAGTGGATCTTAGCCCCAAGGTATAGCTGCGGTGGCTCAGTGGTTAAGACGATAAAGCTGCAGACCAGAAGGTCAGTAGTTCAGCAGTTCAAGACCCGAGTGCCGCATGACGGACTGAGCTCCCTTCTCTAGCCCCAGCGCCTGCCAACCTAGCAGTTCGAAAGCAAGACATTTCAAGGAGATCAATAGGTACCGCTTCGGTGAGAAGGTAACAGTGTTCTGTGTGCCTCGGCATGTAGTCATCCTGGCCACATGAGCACGGAAATGTCTTCGCAGAGCGCCGGCTCTTCGGCTTGGAAACGGAGATGAGCACTGCATCCCTAGAGTTGGAATCGACTGGCTTTCGAGCAAGGGAAACCTTTACCTTTACCTATAGATGGATGCTATGTCTGGGGCAGTGACGCTCTGTGTTCTTCGTGTTGGGGGGGCAAGAGTGGGAGGGCTTCTGGAGTTCTGGCCCCACTGGGGGGCCTCCTGATGGCCCCTGGGTTCGGGCCACTGTGTGACACAGAGTATTGGACTGGATGGGCCATAGGCCTGATCCAACAGCCCTGGTTAGTACTTGGATGGGAGACCACCAAGGAAGCCCAGGGTTGCTACGCAGAGGCAGGCAGTGGCAAGCCCTCTGCTCGTGTCTTGCCTTGAAAGCTCTACGGGGTCACCGTCTTTCAGCTGTGACTTGACGGCCCTTTCCCACCACCACTACTGATAAAAAGGTATCCCGTGGATGTTGTTATGTGTTACTGTGACCAGACCCATATCTGCAAAATATGCAGACTTTGTGAACAGTGAGGGATTTGCACTCAGGGCCACAGGCCCTCCCCCCAGGGCACTTACTAACAAGGACGGCCATGCTGCTCTGCCGTGGGTCGTAAGGGCATTTCCCCTTTCCTGGTTCCACCGATCGAGGCACCATTCGGAAGAGGTACTCCTTGCAGAGAGGAGAAGAGAGGAGAGAGTATGGGCATTCGTGCGGGAACTCACGCAGAGGTCAAGCCAGCCAGACCCCAACTCCCTCCCTCGACTGGGGACAGCCCCACCCCCTGTGGCCTCTGGGCCTGGTCTAGGGTTGCCAACCTCCAGGTGGGGCCAGGAGATCTCCCGCTATCACAACGGATCGCAAGACGATCAAGATCGGTTCCCTGGAGAAAATGGCTGCTTTGGAGGGTGGGCGTGAGGGCACCGTGCCTTGCTGAGGACCCTCCCCTCCCCAAACCCCGCCCTTCCCAGCCTCTGTCCCCGGAACCTCCAGAGTCGGCAACCCAAGCCCAGTTTCCTTCATCAACCCGCCTCCTGGCGTCCCTGCTTACTTCGGAGCGCCATCCACGGTTGATGAGGGCACAGACCGGATGGTAGGCACTTGTTCCACAGGCGTAGAGATGGGTGCGGT